CAGTAGTTAAGAGATAAACAAAGGATTGGACATAAACTACGAAACAAAAAAAAAAAAAACAACAAATAACTTCCAAAGAAAAGAATAATAAATTAAGCAAAGCAGAATGGCTTGATTGTATACTCAATGTCTGAGGCAATATAAGTGCTATGTACTTGTTTGACAAATAAGTATTGCATTTAAAGTCATAAAAACAATTAAAATGACATTTCCCTCCGTCAGTGTTGCACAGTTTACCATGCTATTCATGCCTAAACATTTTAAACTAACTTCTGTAAACAAAATACCTTCTGGTATAAAGGATAAAAATCAGTTCAGTTTACAAGTGAAGTAATTCTTCATACCAATTATCAGTTGCTATGGTAATAACGGAGATTCAAGAAACATGCTTTTTGCCCGTTTGGCATAGACACTCTGCTTCCCAAAAAAAGTGCACAGAGGAAGTTAGATGCCTGTAGGAAGATCATACCAAGGTCAGATACTCATCCTACTGGCATTTACACATTGCCATTAAAGTTACATGCTAACACTATTAATTATGCTCAGCTGCCTCCCTTTCCTCTTTTTTTTAAGCAAATAATTGGGAAGTTTTATTATGGTGAAAAATTCCTTCCATGGTAGCTAAGTGAAAAATACTTTGAAATAATGTGATTTTCCTTGCAGTATTAGGTTAGCCACTGTCACTGGTATTTTTTTTATAGCCTTCATTCCAATTTTAACTGTGAAACTTCTTTTAAAAATGTGTCCATGGTTATTCAAATACAACCATCCCAAAAATGACAGGAATTCTGCTGAAATACTTTTATACAGCTTTCATAGGTTTTTAATTAAAAGTTTTTCTTGGCTGGAAATGTACAGTTATTTTTCATTTAGCTACCAAGCTTTGAGAATGGGGTATTTTGTGAGGCAGTAGAGCTAGAGGGGGATGTCATCCACGAGACCTGCAATCTACTGCACAGAGACTGCCAGAATCTGCCAATCCTTTCATTGCACTCAAAAATTTTTTAACTGCTTCTCACAGAAACAAATTATTTTGTATGTGTGTGAAATTAAATTATTATACTTCACTAATTTCAGTACTTTCTCTTAAATCAGGGATCTGTGCCTTTGACATGCTAAAAGATTGGGGTTTTTTAGATGAAGTATGCCTGTCCCAAAAAAAGTCACACAAATCCTCTCTGGGTTTAAAGGTCATAAAAACTCTTTTCAGCTCCTTAACCTTCTTTCAGTTCCTTTCCCATCAGGAAAACATCAGTGCAAGCTTAGTATAATTTCACAGTATTCAAACCAGTAACATGCAGGACTGAGAAGTCTGGGCTGTAGGCCCAGACTTTTTTCACTTTCTTCTTCTGATGAACCACCACAAATTGCAATTATAAATTCTACTAACACAATGTTAAAAGCATAATTTTACATTCAGTAAGTAATAACAATTCTGCTGTTTTTAGAAAGCTACGCACACTCTAACTTTTCATTACTCGCTGTCTCGTTCAACCCTATTCTCTTCTTTAAAAACCCCAGTTCCTTCATGTGGTCACCCTTCTGCTGCTTGCTACATCCCAAATTACAGCTGGTGGTCACCCTTCCAAGGCTCAGATTACCAGCTCCACAGTGCTCACTGTATTTGATATTGCCTCCTGCGTATACATATGCTCAGAAAGAGGGCAGAATTTTGCCCCGGCAACCATATGGGCAAATTGACAGGTAGATAAGTGTCCAAATTTATTTTGTAATATAAATACAGACTTGGGAGTTGAGAAGTTAAATTTGACTCATAGATCTAACAGTGATTCATTGTATTTATCACCAAATACTTTGCTTAATCATGGTGAGTAAGATTAGTCCACATGATTGTAAGCTCCTACACTGAGTATAATTCCCGTTGTCACATTTTTCAAATGCCCAAGACTATTACTATTACACTAGAGCCAGCGATTTACCTTTCCACTACTTCTTCTTGACCTCTGTTGTGTGCTTATGCATTGTCTACTCTGGTGGGGGCTAACAATTCCACCAGCTCCAGTTATATTCAGGTTTTCTTTCCACCATGTAAACCATATGCTCATCAGCACAGACTAAAAAGTCCCATGCTTTTAACACATTACTGCTTGGCACTGCAGTAATAATAGACATAACCAGCAGTACAGATGTATTTGTTAGCATCCACATTTTGATTATCGGAAGAGACTCCAGAGCAATACCTGAAGCTTATTATACTGGTAACGTGAATTTTTGTTTTAATTTATATGCAACTGACATGCTAGAACCTAATTTTCAGGGGAAACATATAGAATAATTTCATATTAAATCGTTTTTACTTTTCACTTTAAATAAACTATTCTGGATTAGAAATATATGCATCTCTAATTAGAAAATAATTATGTCTCATTATTTTTACTCAGGGTTTCCATTACAGCAACATGGAAATTATCAGTTGCAACGTCTAAGGCTAAGCACACCAGTGAGCAGAACAGAGGAAGTTTGAGGAAGAACCTTTAGCACAGGTGAAAAATCCCATTTTCTGGGAGGACGTGAAGAGGAACTGACCCCTCGTCACTCCTACAGAAAAGAATTATGTCTCTCCAAAAAGATAGAACAGATAACAAAGTGAGAGAGGAGAAAATTAAGAAGGAACAGAAACAGGAACATTTTTGCCAAGAAAGAGGAAGGAAAGCAACCAGTTGCCCAGAACAGTAATAAAAATCTCACCCTGTAACTGGGTAAGAATTGCAAAGATTAGATGGAGGAGGAAACAGAAAAAGGCCTTTCATCTGTCCAGTCCACTATGAACAAGAAAACAATTTATTCTTTTTCCACTTCCCCCTGCAACAGCTTTTATTTTCTTGAACTGTTAAGGTCTCCATCACTATTCTTTAGTCTAAACAAACCTAGCGATTCCTGTCTCCCTGTGTAAGTAATTATTTCTCCTCTCTTCTGCAGTCTCTCCAAGTAGTCCATATCTTTTTTAAATGTGAGATTGCCGAAACCATTTGCAACACAACTTCTTTGGTTTTCTACCTAAGGACAGGATAAGGTCCTCCCCTTATTCATACCTCTGCCCTACCAAGTCTTGAAAGAAATATAAAGGTGAGATTATGTTCAACATGTTCACTCTGGAACACAAATATTGGATCCATTTTGTTGAGCATTACGTGGACAAATAGGCTATGCATTTCCTTGTCATAAGCCCTGCCTTGGCGGGGAAATGACAGGAAAGGACAGACAAAGGACACTCACAGAGAAAGAGGTTGAAACCTTCCCATCCGTTGAACGCATTCTCTGCCATTATTCTAGACTCTCTCACAGCTTTCCTCAGAAAGATTCATTAAATCCAGAATTTAGCTCAGCAATCTGTTGTTTTCCTCACATTATATGCCACGTATTAGTATTTCACAATAAGTTCTGTTCATAATATTGTTCATGATATTAAATTTTATCTACTTATTTATACCCCATGCTTCCTGACCACTGAAAGTTTTGACACAAGCAAACTAAAACATTACTGTAGTCCTGTAAACTTAATCCATTTTGTCTGTACTGAGGATTAACTATATTGCGTTTTAATCACAGCAAGGAAATGCATGTAAAACTACAGTCTGAAAAAGAGAGGCTTAAAATGTTCTCCTATTCTTATCACTACTACAAAATATGTATGGCCAGGAGACTGGCTCCTACTCTAGGCACCAGCTTAAGCATATGCCATCTTCCATCTGATCAGACCGGATTCTTTATGGAACATTTTGCTTAGTTGTACAGTGGGACTATATTCCCCAGCCATCCTCAAGGACCACTTGAGATACAGAGATGAAAGTCAGTGCTTGGTATAAATCTAATGAAGAAAAGTATCTACCACAGCCCTCATGAAAAAGGAGAAAGCAAAGACACACCAGTCTGAATCACATGTTTTACAAGCATATGTGAAACTCTTCCAACTATTTCTAAGTACACACATGTAGTCCTTATACATAAGACAGGCTGACATGCAAAAGCTTGTACTCAAATCAATACCACTGAGTTCATAAAAGCACAGAGTTTTTAACAATTAGAAGACTTGCTAAGATATTAAGGCTACAAAGTAAACTATTTTTTATTCTTTCCAAAGTCTTCCTAAATTGTAATAAAAAATTAAAAAAAAAAACCAGCTTTTAGTAAGTGCTAGAAAACATGATGAATACATTAATTAAAAAAAAAAAACAAACCTGAAGTAATTTAACTCAGATTTCGAGCTACTATTCCTGTCCAACCACTGCAGAAAAATTATCTCCTTATACAGGTACCATATCAGGATAATGGTAGCACATGCATTCCTTTCATGATGTACTACAGGATATGCAGGCTGATTCTGCACCTTTATTGCATATTCTGTATTTTCTTAATGGTTTACCATAGTAATAAGTAACAGAAAAATACATGTTATTAGCTATGAAAAACACTGGTTTGCTGTCAGTTGGATAGTCAGGATTCTGTGTAAGTCTTTGAATAGAGCAATGTTATGGGATTTTTAATCAGCTCTTTGAAGGATTTAAGAAATTGTAATTAGCATGAAAAGACCCTCATCTGCATGGTTCCACTGGGCCCAAGGGTCTGCCCTAATCACTCCAGGTAACACATGAGGGTTATAAAACATCTTCCTATGTGTGCCAGGTAACAAATAGTCATTAGAAAAAGTGATGAGCTGAGCAATTTCAGCATAAGGAAAAAAGGAACTAGAGCAGACCCAATCTGAAAAGTAAATCATTAACACAAGCACTTTCTATAGGTGAGTGTTTCATTCTGTGACTAGCTGAATTCTGATTCTTAAAATCAACACAGCAGAACAGAGGGTGTCGTGCTAATGACTGTTTACTTACGTTATAATCATACTTATTCACATATGATTAATGACTAAGTACACAGCGAATCTACAGAACCCGAGGACGTACAGTACCAAGCTGCAATCCCGCTTCATTGTTACCTTGGAGCCTAAAGTACTTAGTATCAGTTTGATTGGATGGTTTCTTTCAATTCTTCAAAATAGAGTAAGAGCTAACTATAACAATTCAATTTACTGAACTGTTAGTTTAATTCTAGGAAAGCTACTATTTTCATCTCAACAGAACTTGAAGACTCGCATAAGAATGTATTGTGGAGATTATGTGAGTATAATGATCTGTTCTTCGAAATCTTTCAAAACTTCCATAGCTCTTGAGTCGCTGTCACACATGTTGGGATCTATTTCACTCCACTCGTAGAAATTAATCTCAGAGTGAATTTATTTGTGATTTGGGTCTAACTCTGGGGTTATTTGTAGTACATATGAAGTGTCTGAAATTAAGATTAAAATATAAAGACTCTTACAATTTTAGATCTTTCGAGACAAAATAATTTGTCTTTTATCTCCTTCTGAGACTGTGAGTTTTCTATACTTGTACTTAGCTGCTACATAAGACACGAAAGTGCATACTACCACCTAACTCTATTAAACATAAAAATGTGCGTTATTCAGAAGTTACTGGTTCATAGCATGATTTTGGTGGGCTTGTATTTTCACAATACGGTCTATAACTGTATAAAGTAAGTGAATGACTTTATAATTTATAAACATTTGGGTTTGTTTACAAGGTGAAAAGTACTCCTAAGCAAAGAAATGCTACCTCTACAAAGCAGAACCACACAGGAAAGCTGCCAATTATTGTTCCTCATCAATAAATGTAGCAATATTTTAAACGGTTTCATTAGCACTCTGCAAGAAAACAACAGATCATTCTGCAGCATTAAATCTCCATTCTGAAAGCTGCTATAATCATTAGTTCATGACAGCAAAATGTGAAATTGCTTTTGCACCTAGCATACTGATAGTTATGTTCTCTAAGGACTTTCTTTTAATTACTATTAATAGGAATAATGATTCACTCCTCTCAAATGCTTTTTGCATGTGCATTCCCAATAAATTTACTGATAAATACAGCATTTTCTGGAGGATAAACACTTCTTTTCTTTCCTTATTTGAAAATATAACTGCACTAAATATTTCAATCATCCATAAGGTATTTTTTGCCATAAAATTATATTGCATATATGCAATACGTATTGAATGGGCTTTACTAATGTGTTTGGTCTTCTGCAATTTGGGATCTTGCATGGTTTACTAGACCACTTAAGAATTGAAAAGGGATTTTCTTCTTTGTTTCTTACTTTTTCCTTTAATTACTATGCAACTAATCTATTCCTTATAATTAAAGGAAGACAGGAAGAAGATCTCCATCTGACAACACAGGTAGATCCATTTCAGTTGGAGAAGTCAGGAAGTTCAGTTTCCTCTCTTCTACTAATTTACTGAGACCAATTGTATATAAATAATCAACACTGCATCTGAATATAGTATGTTGCTTGATATTACTGGCAATCCATTATCAAATAACATATAGAAGAAATTATTTTCCTTTAAAGTCATTAAAATTGGTATTTATTTAAGATTTGTAATAATTATCACAATAGTCTGACGCCATTATAAAAAACTTAACTGTGTGAGTTATTTAGATCAGCTATTTTAGGCTTAATTAATGTAATAATTATGCGTTAGTCAGCCTTTCAGACCACTTGAGCAGAGCGAGAACTTAAGTTCCTAATTTCAATCTTCTGATGTGCACCAAAATACTCCAAAATAGATGGTGTGAATAACACCTCTCTATTCCCTCTGCTTCTGAACATATAAAGACACACTGATTAGCCCTTTTTTTTTGTTTTTTTGTAATCACAGAAGTAAGAGAGCAAGAAGCAACTGTAGACAATGGGGTCCATTATTGGCCTCAGGAAAGACATCAAAAACTCATTACAGGCTTTCTCTGAAAAGTATTGTGATGGATTCTCAGTTTGGGTAAATATTTATTCTTTATTCCCATTTCCATGTTGTGGGATGGGAATGGAGAAAAACCCGTAGTTTGTATGAGTTAGCTCACTAGGTCCTAACCAGTGGAGGAGACTTCCCTGCTGAGGCATACAGACAGAACAGGACATGTAGTGCAGAGCCCATACAAATGTTCTTCCTGGGTGTCTGTTGGCTCTTCAACATAAAGGCAGTCATGGAGCAGGGGCAGCTTTCTCAGTGAGACTTAGCAATAAAACAGAAAAATCACTTGTAGCAAACAGCAAGCAAGAAAGCAGGGCTTACACAAGACTGAGTGGTGAGGCTGTCACATTAATTTCTTGTCTACTCTTTCTAAACAAAACCTTAGATTGAGAAAAGTCTTAACAGCATACTTTAGACTTAAGTATACTTGCAAAGAATCCCAAAACATTAATATACCACTATTCAGAAGCATAAGAAACATGAAAAAAAGAAATGGAAGTATTACTTTCAAAATTTACTTGGTTCTTTAAGATTACCTCCTTAATATTTTATGTTACCCTTATTAGTAGTTACATGTGTTATATATGAACAAGATCGAGATGTACAAAATGTGAACAGCAGCAGTTCTGCCAGATGCAGCAATGCAGGATGACATTATCAGAGATTACATACAGAAAATGGCTCCCCACAGTACCACAGAGGTAAAACTACCAAAAATTAGAAAAGATTACATCTGTGACCTCTCTAAAATCCATATACAGGGAAAGAAGGGAGGCTTTGAAGAAAGAATTTTCTATATTTACAAGTACCCTTTCCATTACTGTGTCATATATTATTCAAATGAAGTGTAACATATACAATAAACTCACAGTAAATCAAAATACTCATGACATTTTTATTTAATAAAGTTGCACCCAAAGAATGTCATTGCAAAAGTAGAGCCAGCTTATACCATGTAGTTAGCTAATAAAGCAAGCATTTTATTTTAGTGGATATTCCCTATGGGGAACATTCAGACTAAGGAGTCTGACTGTGTGACTTTTGTTATCAGCAGAATGACTTACTGAACAAATATTATTAGAAGGCTGTTCATACTTTAGATTGCTTTTTCCATCACAAGACTGAATTGCCTGAACTTTACACATAATTGGATAAAAGCAGCCTCAGCTTTTACTGATACTTTTGTTGAACTGCTTATAGCTTTGGTCTGGAAAAGCTGCAGCTTTCTTGCTCTCGCACAGAAGGAAGGTAGAGTGCAAGTATCATTTCTCAGTCTCTTTCCAATCTCTTGTTGGTTTGATTCATTCCACTAACACCACACAAACCTGTTCTTTCTGCATGGCTGTTTCGGAATCAGCTCCTTTCAAAAGAGTTAAATACACATGTGGAGAAACATAGATACATATATGAAGAGCCCACCTGCACCACCTCTTTGGGAAAAGATGTTTTTTTTGTAGATGAGGGTATATTGATATCAAAAAGAGGATTAAAATCACTGAAGTCAAGAATCCCTGAATCACCTCTGGAGATCTGCCTGCCTCACCTTTAGGTGCTTGGATACTTTGTGAGAAAAAAGCAAAATATTGTTGATTTTCTTCCTACTAAATAATAAGTATCCTTTTCTTTAGGATGCTGCAGAAAAAGACAGTATGAAAACCATTTCTCCATGCTCCCATACAGCGTCTGGTCTAAATTAATCCATAAAAAGGCCAAATTGCTCTCAAAAATAACTTTCCTCACCTGCTCTTTAAAAGCATTTTCTTTGTAATGCAGAAAGTCCTGCCACGCTGAATACTGTGCTTGCAAAGGGTGTTCCACCAGAACAGTGTGCCTGTGATGAGGGATGCTAGAATCCAGATACCAAAATTAAAAGTTTTTTAAGTTGTGGAATTCTTCTCTCAGTGACCATACCAGGCATTTCCCCTTGGGATTCTTCAGAAAATTTGGCTGCATATTTGTCCATCCATCTGTCCCTACCAGCAACTGAACTTGATACTGAATTTCTATCATATTTGGCAGAGGAATGGCAATCTCTTCTGAAGTTTTCTGAAACCACTTCTCAGTGGAGGCGAGGCATACAAATTCTTTTTCCAGTTAAAAAAAAACACAGCAGTTTAAACTCAACAGTCATATATTCTATTTGCCTAGCATTTATTAGGCAAGCAGTACATGCATCCTTTGGACTTAGCCAGGAGATTACTCGGAAAGAACCTGATGGATTTTGAGTGTAGATATTGATTAAAGGAACAAGAAGGGAAAATTACATGCTTTTGTGGTTGGAGGAAGTAGGAAGAGAGAGTCAAAAGAACCTGTTAGAAACCAGTTGTTACTAGCCACAGTACTCACAGAACTCGTATCACAAAACAATGTATTTCAAAACAACACACCATCCTAATATCCACAAAATCCACATTCTTGCACCCAAACAAAGTAACTGAAGGGGACATTGTTTGGTCAGCAAAACACTTATATATGCACTTGTGAGGAGGGATATTTGCGAGTGCAGACAACTTGAAGGAAAACTTTATTGTATTCTGTCCATTGTACCTAATTAATATATCTAAATATCTGCAGATCTGGGAAAAGCCAGAGAAGAATGCATGAGTTTCTATAAGGTTCATTATGAAGATCGTGGGAACATGCAGTGTATTAGTAATGAGGATATATGAAGGATATCTGTGCAAGAGAGGAGTTAGGACATTATCCAAGTTTAACCATCATCTTGTGTTAAAACAGAGCTTTACTGACTTTGACAAAGTTCTGTACATTTACACCAACAGTATTTCCTTAAGGCAATATTTAGATATTCCCTCTTTTTTTTCTTTTTTTTTTTTTAATGACTATATTCGCCATGGAAGAGCTGAAATGACCTATCTGCACTGACTCTACTCTGGTTCTGGATGCTTAGAAGTTCAGGTCTGCAACTGCAGTGGATGCTAACATCCCCTTGGGAAGTAACTACATTCCGAAACTGGTGGAATAGTGAACACTTCGCTTACCACTTTGCTCTAGATTATTATATTATAGTCAGACCCACTTAGGAAAAACATTTTTTTAACATGATTAATTTATGACTGGCAAAGATAAACTGACCTGCTATAGCTTCCATACAGACATTATAGCTAGGCTCACTTAACACCATAAACAACAACTTTATTTTCTGTGCAAGTATCAAAGTCTGACACTCCTAACAGTCAAACCTCTTAGGCTCTATGATCATTGTACCTTCACCAGTTCCCCTTTTGAGAAATGAAAATGCATAAGTAAATTGCTCATAAAGTTCATAGTGGTTTTATACTGACAAAG